TATTTAGCTAGCTAAATATTGAACTTACCGGTATATATTTAGGTGGCTAGCTAAATATTTAAGTTGCGACCTAAATATTTAGGTAACTTGCTAAATATTTAAGTTGAATATTTAGGTGGCTAAATATTTAAGTAGTAACCTAAATATTTAGGTGGCTAGCTAAATATTTAACTTGCTAGCTAAATATTTAGCTCAAAACTAAATGTTTAGGTCAGAAGTTAAATATTTAGCTTATTAACTAAATATTTAATTTATAAGTTAAATATTTAGTTTATAAACTATGACATTTCTAAATGTATGAATCATATGGTGAAAAACTGACTAAAAATAAATCTGTTCTTTTTTCTTATAAAAGGCTAAATAAAACAAAAATATTAGTGTTAATTTTTGACTGTGTAACTTTAAAAATGGCACCCCACTGTATTGATTGTGCTTTTTCAGCTGGTTCCTGTAAATACAGCTGCAAAGGAAAGACTTATATGAGGATGTCATGTATTTTTCTAATTAAAGAGATTTCCTGATGCTGATCAGCACATTGTTCAGTATATTTGAAGGAAAAAACAGTTGTTGTCTGTGAGTAACAATAGAGATAAAAGCCAAACTTGAAGCTTTATTGTTGTGCGCTCTGACACTAAACACAACTAGATTCAACCAAAAGCTCCAGCTTTGTCTGAGTTTCACGATCGAAAATGTAAACACAAGCAAATGTTTTAGAGATTTTTTGTCTGTCTTTTTTTTAGTAAAAAGCTGAATTTTGGTGACCACCAGGAGCTGAACTCCCCCCACTCTCCCAACAATATAGGCGAAGCAGGAGGAGGTGCTTTTGTTCACATGAGGAATGCTCATGTCACGTGTCCACCCCGCTGCCCTCGGCCTCCAGCCAGTTTACTGATGGTTCTGGTGAAACCCTCTGACAGCCACAGAGCGTGCTCGGTCCCTCACATGTGTGCACACCAGTGGTGTCACTAGGCCCAATTTAGGGGGGCTGGATACGCCCTAAATTATTTTAGTGTAAAAAATATGTATTTTTTTAACAAAAATTCTATATGATGTGGTCAGAATAAATAACCATTTAATATTTCATTATTGACTAAAATATATGATCATATATAAACTTATAAATATACACATAAACATACCCCTACCTACATATCCAAACACTTTCATATATATACATATACATGTACATGTATATACATGTACAT